GACGCCGCTTCCCCGCGCCATGCAGCACAGCCCGGCGCCCGCCGTGCTGGTCACCACCAGGTACCGGGAGACGGGGCGGTGGGGGGAGGCAGAGAGCAGCGAACCTCGCCGCCCGCCTCAACTTGGCCAGCCGCTGCGGGCGCTGCCGCCGCGGAGCCGCCCGCCGCGGCCTTCCCTTCGCGGGGCAAGGCCCGCGCAGCCGTCCCCGCTGCGCGGGAAGGGCAGGGATGAAGGGACGCGGCGAGCGGCGCCTCACGGAGACCCCGGGGCGGCCGCTGAGGGAGGCGGCGGAGCTGAGGGGAGGCTGAGGCGAGGCCGAGGGGGTCGGCGGGCTGCTGGTGCGTGGGCTTGCCCCCGGGACGCTTCGGATATGTGCGGTTCCTCGAGGTTTTTTGGCATTTCACAGGCGGGAGAGTTCACTGTTGTCTGGCCCGTCCTGTGTAACACCGGCGGCTGTTCGGCCCTTTCCTCCTGTGGTAACTTTGGGTCCTTTCCCTTCCACATTGGCGCTGCTGGGGACACAATGCGTGCTCTCACCCTCCAGAAACATCTTGTCCTTGTCAGTATTTCGAGGTGGGTCAGAAGGAATTAAAATTCGTCCCAAAGCGTACACCGGCATCTTTGGGGTCGTCAGTGCTTTTGGCTGACCCCCGCTCCCTGCTGCCCTGCCCCGCGCCCCATCCCTCATGTCCACCAGGCCACAGGGAGCCCGTCTGGCCTGAAGTTAGGCCAGCGATGGGCAAAATAAGTTTATTCTGTTTTCGCACCTTCTTGAAACCATGACCTAGGTGGGTGCAGAGGCGCTGTTTTCACTTGTGTTAAATTTTTAAAACTTGTATTTTTCCAGATGTGGTGAATGAACCCTCAAGAAGAAAATGCTTGTGGCAATCCTTATAGAGAAATGATAGAGATATCGCTCTCTTTTTTTTTTTTTTTTTTTTTTTTTTTTACCCCCACAAGATATTTGAGACCACATGAAAGCAGTTCCCTATCAGATGTGACATGAGAAACAGAAGTGTTGATTCAGCAAGGTCCTGAGTCTCGCACCCTACCTCCTAGGACATAAGTAGCAACTATTTCAATCACATTAACATCAAAGCCATTATTTTAATCCTTAAATATTTGGCTGTATCAGGGCCTGACTTCCTTTGGAGCAGTGGCCTTGAACCTTCAAACATATCTGACTTAACTCACATGCGCATTTTGTAGGTCGGACTTTGTATTAGCTTTAGCCTTGGAAATGGAAATCTGAACACCGGGACTTATTTTACAGTCAATAGACTTTACCACTTGCAAATTGTCCCACTGATACTGGAATGCTTTCAGTGATAATATTGGATATATATGTATGTGTGGGATTAAGGCTTTAGCAAGTGAATATATTTTCTAGCTTATGAGAAGATAGCTGTATAGCTGTGACCTTTTTCACTCTATACATACTGGTTTGGGGAATGGGATTCCTAGTTGCTATGGTAATATAAATAATTAGTAATCTGCATACTTGTAGTTGGACTATACAGAGAAATAAAAATGTTTGCTGGCTAATTTGTGTCTGATGCTTTGCCTTCACTTAATGAATAAACTAGTTGTACAAGTTTTTTCTCCTTGTACTATGACCTGGGTCATCGCAGTTTGGTCGCCTTTGGGCAGAGGTTGTTGGAGCAGGGTGCTGCTGGTAGGGCTGACTTTATCAAGGCAGAAAGTGCAGAGTCCTCTCTCCTGGCCACACAGACACAAGTTTCTCAGGTCACAGCGCTTAATATCCCTTACTTTGCTTTCTTGCTTGCAATGGCTGCTTTCCCCCATCCCATCTTGGCCTTTCAGCACAGAAAACAGATAAAGTACAAAGCCTCTACATTATAGCAAATCAAAAAACAGGAATGAAAAACTGTGGCTCTTCAGTGAACTGTGGAAACTGCTCTGTTCTGACCTTTATATAGCCTCCCCTTCCTCCATCCCGTGCGGATTCTGCATGATCTGATTGTGCAAGCACAGTGTTGCTGGTATGAATGGTCTCATTGTATTCAGGTGAAGCGATTCGCATTAGGAAAGTTAACTGTGTGCGCACGTCTCCCCTGAACTCTCTGTATTGTAGACAAAAGCGTAACTTAGAGATACACAAGCTAGATTTAACTGAAGAGTAGAAGCAATAAATGTGTGTGTCCAATTTAAACAAGCAGCCTTCTCCTTTTGCTTCTTTTTTAAAGCTACTAGTGTAAAAATAATTGTGTTTGATGTGACAAATCTGTCTTGGGATTTGTAGGTGCTGCTTCTGTCTGAGTAACAACAATAACAGTATCGAATTAAAACACTGGGGCTGCTTATTTTGAAACTAAGGCATTATGAGAACTACTGTGTGCTTTGGATATTACGCTCCATCTCTCGGCCTCCATGCTGATTTCTGTTAATTTAGAATAATTTTTATATTTAAAAAAACACACAATCCTGTTGCTATGGAAGAGATAATAGCGGTAGGTTTCCTGTAAGAGATGATAATGAAAGTGATCACAAGGCCTAAAGCAAAGAAACAAAAAATGTAGCTGTTCCCCCTACCTCTAATCACTTTCCATTACAGTCATTTTAGCTCAGACTTTTAACTTTAAAAGAAAAACCCTGGGTGTAGATAAGGTACTTACTAACTTCATGACATTTTTAGAACTCTTTAATGCAGCAGCTCTTACAGTGAAGTTGTTGTGTCTTCTCAGAACACCTGTACGTGGTTGGTGTTTTAAGCTAAATAAGACCATTCAGGAAGGATGGTTTACTGGTGGTTTTTCCTCTTATTTACATCAGCGGTGAGAAGCAGGTTAATTTGTCATTTATACTCTGTGGCTGTGTTAACAGAAGTCACTCCTGAGTACTGACAGACTGTTTTGCTGTTATAGCTGCAGTCACGACTTCTGAGTGACTACACATCTGGAGAGCATTTCCTCTGCTGCAGGTATATTTTAAAAAACCCAGATCCAGCTGATTTTACTGGCAGGTGTCCTTTGAGTCAGCATTTTGGCTGCCACTTAAGGAGACATTTCAAATAATGGCTGCTTGTTACGGGCTCAACAGACTGCTGTGTAAAAGCCAGGCACCTATGTATTTATACATAAGCACTATTGATTCTGTGTTTACAGCCTGACAACATGTAACTGAGAACAAAATTTTGCCTGTTAGTGTAAACTCAAGTCCTTGGCTGGCAGAAAATGAAACGGAATCAGAGCAGAGTGGCATTAAGGTACCTAGTATAAAATCTTGGCGATGGTAGAGCTGTTGTTAAAGCCCTAATGTTTTAAACATGGCTCGCAAAGAGGATTAGGTAGAAAATTGGGCCTGTGCCCTTGTTTGTTGCTATCCAATTTATAGAGAGCTCTCAAGATACTCTCTTTAAAAAGCTTTTTATTCACTTTTGCGTCGGAGATTCAGAGGTTGCCTTCTTGGGAAAACTCAAGTTTCAAAAGAGCTGGTCAAGTTTTGACATGATGAGAGGACTCTTTTGAAACTTTGTTTGAAACTAGATTGTTTAAACCTCTTTAAAGTATATTTTAAGTTTGTACGCCTCATGTATCCTTAGGTGAAGGGCACCTGTGTTAATGAATCTAAACTTCCTAAAGAAAAAGGCAAGAATTCCACAAGACACCTCTGCAATCCACAGGAAGTCCAGGGAAGATGGGACTTGACATTTCCCATATAGCTAAGGTTAAAAAAACAAAAGGCAGAAAAAATGTTTAATGAAAATAAAATTGCTGGGGTTTTTTTTTTTTTTTTTAAACAGTCCCTTCTGATTTCGTTAAAAAACATTCACTCACACATAGGAAAGATGCACTCGGAGATGTGTTCAGGGGTATTCAATGCTCTGGATGGTAAACTTCTTTCTGATTCTGGCAGAGTGCTTGGTTCCAGTGACAGCAGTAGTGAGTGTGCTGTGGCTTGGCATAGGGGTAGCTTTGGGGAAAGGATCGCTGATCAGTTTTGGTTTCCAGTCTATTGAAACAGACTGTTTATTTCATTAAACATACCATTCTCTTGTGCCCCAACAGCAGCTGCTCAGTCTTACTCTTGATGCATGATCTGCATGATCACTATAATACGATCCTGGCATTCCTCTTGCAAAAATGTCATAAATAATTCCTTGGATGGGAATCCAGGGAGATGGTGACGCCACGGTTCAGTGGATCTGAAGCTGGCAGGAGAAGAAATTGCATCGAGTAAACTGCACCAGCAGCTCCCTTGTTGCGTTTTTCTCCAAGAGGGGCCATGGGTGGTTGTGACTGTTGGCAACTCTCAGAGGTTAATGCTGTGATTCTTTGTCTACTTTAACTAGTTATGAAAGGACAGGTGGTCTTGTTTCCAGTGGGATTTTCTGTGGGAAAGCTGCAGTACTTTAGGTAGTGTACCCTTTCTGCTGTTTGGGAACAAGACTGTCAATCAGTCAAGACCAGAAGGCAGCTCCAAGAGATCATGAACTCCTTTAACTTGCTCAGTCCTGATAGGTGTTTGTCTAATTTTTCCTCAAGGACCTCCACAGATGGAAACTGTGTGGTTGGCCCAGCATTCTGCTCCAGCAACTTCTCTTCGTATTTCAGGCTTTAAGCTAGTTCCCTGGTTGGCTCTTAGAAACGCAAGTTGTCCCTGCACTCAAGCAAGCTCCTTCTTCCTTTTGCAGCCCCTTTCAGCTATTGTCTCTGCCATTCCTGGGGATGTTCTAAGACAAAGGAGAGGTGGATAGGGCTTGGTGTGAATTGTAGTGAACAGAATTTGCTTCAAAGCAAGCCATGATGAGAGATCACGGGATCTTCTCATCTGCCCTGCTGGGTAGGACAACACCTTCAACTCCTATGAGCGAAGTCCTGTTCTGAATGAATCCCCATCTTCTGTTCCCAGAAATGCTATGTTCCTGGCATTTTGTCTGCAGTGGCCAGTGTCAGGTGCTTTGGGATAGAATATAGGAAGCAGGCCATGTCCAAATTTGTATTGTTGCAGAGTAGCAACAGTGTTGGGGTGGTGTCTGGCTGGTATCCTGTTGAAATGAGAGTCTTTGCACTGACTTTCTTGAGCTTTGGACTGGATCGCTGGAGACGGTCACTTAAAAGTCTTTGTGCCAACGCCTGAACTCTGTGTGTGTTTTCTTCCCTAGGCAAATTCAGAATATGCACACGGGGCTGGATTTGTCAGTGCCGGAATACCAAGAAATCCATGGGAAGATGATGTCTGGCCACGTAGAGTATCACATTGTCGTTGTTACCCGACTGGCTGCCTTCAAATCAGCAAAGCACAAGCCTGAAGATGTAGTTCAATTTATGGTAAATGTTTAATCAGTGCTGTGTTAGTGATCAGGTTTTTTTCTTAATCAGCTTTGATTATTTTGGTCCTGATGTAGCAGATAATTTGTCATCACAGCCTCCAGAGGTCAAGGTCCCTGGTAGGACAACACAGTCTGTACCATTCCTGCAATAGGAATATTATAATGTATTAATTGAAATTTTTATTCCAGGATCTCAAAGCAACATTGACTGTTTCTTGTTGCCTTTAAGGCATTTTGCATTATGGGTCAACAAATAGAAACCAGTTAAGCTTTTTATAAGTCCTGCTACAAAATTAGTTTCCCTGATATATGGATCAGTACTGGGACTTGGTACATAAACATGAAATAAATATATAATAGTTTACTTGAATGGAGAGGGAATCATGTGGGGCAATAAGAGGAATTAATCTTGCAGTAGGTTAGCCTCGACCTATTAGCCTTGATTTGTTAGCCTTGACATGGTTTTTAAAATCCTTAGTAAGAGAGTTTTACAAGGAAGCATCCGTATAAAATGTTACTGAGTTAGATTGTCTTTTTCATACCTGCAGAGTGAAGGTTTGAAAACATAGCCCAAGATTCATTTCACCTGTTTTAAGTCATCTATAGCATGCACACGTCCACTTAAGCTGTCTTACATGGGACTGTCTATTGAGTCGACGGAAAAAGGTGCATTTAGGGTACATTTCATTAGATCTGCTCACTCCCAAGAAGTGCGTTTCCCTGTCCATTGACTAAAAAGGGGGTGCACCCTGTTGCATGCTGTGAACATCTCCCCTCTTCAGATGTTTTGGGGATAACTGTAATGTCAGAGTGATGTGACTGTGCAGTTTCCTGGTAGACCATTAGCCCTAGTGTAACTCATAATCCGTAGAAGATAGGTGATAAATGGATATTTACACAGTGTGATTTGCAGATAAAGCCACATCTGCCAATGTTGTGAAGAGGTGCATGGTGAGGGTATCTCATACATTTATTGCACTCCTTATGCCATATATAACTTTATGGTAAAAGCAGCAATGCTGGCATAGGAGTCTGTTCTGTTCTCTCTCCTTGTCCCTGACTGCTTGTTCTTGCTCCTGCAGCGTTTCCTTCTGTGTGCCAGTGTCATGTGGCTATTCTGTAATGTCAGCTGAGGAACTGCTCCTGGCTAAAAATGGGTATTTGTGGGTTTGTTATTTAGTACTAACTTACACCTGTTTCTTGAGCTTGTGAGTTGCACAGCCCCACTAAAGTTTGTTTTAGGACAGGGGAAGGGCTAGACATGGGCAGATAGGAGAGGGGATGTAGAATCACTTTTTTTCTGCAGCAATGCCTGCCTATATTATGTAATATTTCCATGCAGCTCTGTGCAAGAAAGAACCTGACTAAACCTGAGGTGTTAAACTGGGCTATTGTCATCTAACATTTTGCTTAGCTTAAGAAAAAGTAGATAAAATCAGCTTGTTTATAAAGAGAAGGAAAAGACTTCCTACTGTGGCCCCCCTGCTTGCTGAGGTTGTCTGTTCACATGTCCATTCTCTCTAGGAGGATTTTCAGCACTTAGTTGCTCTTCTCAAGTGAAATAAACCTTTCTGACTTCTTCTCTGCTCAGACTTCCTGAAATTTCGTTCTTCATGAAGAAGAAAACTGGTGTAGTCTGACGGGAATAACATTTATCTCATCAGACACATTTTTTTTCAGCTGACTAAGTCTGATATATTTTATAGTTTGGTGTGAGAGTAATTTAAAACTGTGAGCTGGGAGGTTGGAGGATAGATGCTTTGCATCGATTCATTCCAATGAATCTTATCTGTATGTATTACTGGAAGGAACAGAGGGATTCACCTGTCCTAACTTATCTCTCTGTAAGTTGGATATTTTAATATGAGTCTGTTCCTGCTTTTATAGTCAATGGGGAGAAGGGGAATGAGGTGACTTATCCTCTGGAAATGCCTCTCTTCTTTGACTGTAAAGGGAGAGCGTTCTACATCTTAGGCAGCTGGGGTGGGGGGGCTTCAGCTCCAGGCTAAAATGCTTAAGGCTCAATTGAGTTGCACGCAACTCACTGTCTATACCACCAGAGGTGCCCTGGGATTTTCCACCTAGCCTTCAGAAGGATGTGAGTCTCTCATAGGTTCTGTGTGATATTTGCCTGCCCCACACAAGCCCCTTGGATACCCCAAAGCATCTCAGATGGCATGAGATGCCTGTCTTTAGGCAGAACAATCTGCTCTGTATGGTTGGATGTGTGCATTTGCTGTGGACTTCTAAGCTCTCATCCCAGTCAGTGCAGTACTGTTGAGAAGAATGTAGCTGAGCATCTACGTGTGGGGGGAATCCACTTTGCATGACATACACAGCTGGTACAATCTGAGAAACCCTGAGTTATCCTCGGTGTCTCCACAGGGCTGACAGATGTGACAGGACATAAAGGCATTGGCACCACTCTGAAGCAGAGTGAGGTGAGATACAGTACACCATCCAAGGTACCACTAGCTGCCTGTGTTCAGATGAGTTGAGTTTCAGTCACATCTTGCCAAAATGTAGTGACTATATCTGACTGTCATGAGAGCTGAGATACCTCCTGCATGTAGGCAGTTGTCTTAACCTGGAGGCAAGTCCCAACCCTGTGGCTGCCAGGTGAGGTTGAGTTGCACCCATATTGTCTGTGTAGTGCCCTGTCCTGCTGGATGCTGTACCAGCACAAACAAGAGCCATGACCCTTCCCAAGAGAGTTTGCAGGTGAAGCGTAAGAGAACCAGGTGGCTGGGGAACAGCAGAGAAGAATGAGATGACAAGTAGGTTTGAGAAAGCAGGTAGGCATGGTAGGATTTTCATTGGCTCTGGATACATTAATCCAATTTTAGCTACCTCAGGAGCCAGGTCTGTGTTTTGAGACCCTTTGTCTTTCTTTTTCTTCTTCTCCTTCCCCTCTTTCTCTCCCTCAAATATTAGCTAAATTGATTTTGCTTGTCCAGCTGTTCTTCCACCTGCTTCCAGTTGAAGTGACTGCCCGACACACTCTTGTGTCCTAGGTGGCAGCAACGAAACTGGCTTTCTGTGCATTAGGCTGTGAGCAACTGCAGGCAGGGATGTGACTGAGCAGCATTTATTGCTAAAATAGCTTCTCTGTATCCCCTGGAAAAAGATGGTGTGCAGGACAGAAGCATCCTCTAAGCTAGCTGTGATCTCTGGGCTGTGTTTAGATCACGCTGGATGGAGACATGTTAAGGGCCTATGACCAAAACCAGATGAATGTCAAAAAGATTTTACATCTGACCTGTGGAGTTACTACCCTTTACTGTGGGTCTAAACAATCCAGAGTTCTCTGTTCTGCGGTCTTAATGGGACTATGCAAAATCAGTATCGTTGCGTCTCTAACTGTAACGTTTGTGAAGCATTAACACAAGAAGAAATTCACTTCTGTGACAACTTTCTGATCTAAATTCTTAGAAACTGGAGGTTTTTTTTAATTAAAGAACTTCCATTTGTAAAATAGGGCAAATGGGTTGTAGAACTGCTTAACCTTGAGGTTGTATTTCATAATTGAAGGAAAAATCAGCTGCATTTCTTTCAAAGGTCAGAATACTCTTGCCCTATTGAAAGAGTGAAATTGGTTTTATCTTTGGTACTGCATCAGAGGTACTGCTGCAAAGGTGATATTTATGTATTGCCTGTAGATCTGCCATTTTCTGTGAGAAGAAGAAAAGTCTTTGTTTTTCTTAAATGCATTTCTTCTAGCCACACCTTACCTTTTTTAGCAATTCACTTCTGTCTTCCCAGCCTTATTAAAAATCTACCCAGCCTATAGTGCCTTCTCTTTCTATCTGCTCCCAGTTTAATTGCTTCTTTTTTACAAGTTACATTTGTTAGTCAAGTTCTTTCTTTTTCAAAGCTGAACAAATAACTGCTGGTGTTGAACAGGCACAGCACATTTTGGGGAGGAATTTACTATAGAACTGTCTTCCTCTCATAAAATGAGGGACTGTAAGTATGTGGGTGTGTATTTGTCTATGTTTTCATCATTGTCTGTTTGCATATGTTGGCCTTCTTTCTGTGGGCCTCAAAATCTGTGCGTTAGAGTTGCTATTTCCTGACCATACAGGTGTGTTGTGAAGATAAATTCCTTCACGTTATAACCTCTGTTATGTGAGAGGGGGAAAAAATATTCCTGCTCTGTGTAGCAATAGGTTCAGGAGCCGTTAAGAATTCATGTTGATTAAAAAGAAATATTAGAGTGCTTGCTCTTCTGCTGGGCAAAACAGATGGGGAGAACAGCATGTGGTCATGTAATTAAAATCTACCATAATGCATACCCACGAGGTCACCAAGCAACATTAATTCTGGTGTGGCTTGAATGGGGAGTGTACAAGTGAAAGCTTGGTCTGTGCTGTCTGCGAGAAGTGATGCTTTTGACTCCTGTATCCAAAGCTAGTAGTTGTTTTAAAGGACAGTGCTGCTGTATCTCCATTTTCTGACAGTGTTAAGAAGTGGGCTTTGTAAAATGAAAGTCGCAGTAGCCATATGAAGTACTATAAAATCAAGAGTGTTCTTCACTAGTGTGCATTGGCTGGACAAAGGGCTTGAATTAGCTCCAAGATCTCCAGTTTGCTGAAATCCTTGCAGTAGATACAAAGCTTATGAAGACAAGTTTGAGGTCAGAAATAGGGCATTAAAAGGAGCATTAAAGGGAAAGGAGGCATTAAATCCCATTAATACTGAGTGGGATCAAATTCTCCTATGCACATTTGAGAGTCCCAGGCTCGTATCCTAGTCTACACCTATTCTGGTGTGTACTTTCATGCATGAGGTTCTCGTGAAGCAGGGAACAAGGCACATGCATGAGATTTGAGGGATTAGCAGCAAACTTCAGGCTTTCACTTTGAACTTCCCGGTGGTTTTCTTAACCTTCTAGCTATTTTTGATCATATTCAACTTACTTATTTGTTCCTGGTGCAAAAAATATTCAACCCATCCCTGTCTCTCTTTAAGTTCTATGTTGGATGTTAATTGTTACAGGCAAATAGGGTCTTGACCTGGCAAATATGCACATGCTTTGCCTTATTTGCATGATTAACTCTTTTGAAGTGAAGTAGATTGAGCCTTTGATATTGTGACTTGACAGAACTCCTTGAAGTGCATGCACTCAGGCTGACTTACAGGTGGTGGGGGTTTAGCTCCACAGTATGCACAGAGTTCAGTTAGAGGCATGGAGGGGGAGAGGATAATTGTGGGATCAAGACCTAGAGGAATTACAGGCAGCAGAAGAAAAATATTTGAATATTAATCAAATGGGACTTTGTTTACTTAATAGGATTGATCAAATGGGGTTTAGAGCAGCATTTATTTTTTATCCTGACATTTTGGGCCATAGGATCCATCAACTGCTTTCAAAAGGTTGTGAGTGGTAACCAGGAAAAGCAAGATTTAATTTTGTTACATGCTAATATGTCTTTCTTCTGGAAAATTGTCAGAGGACGTCAAATTGAAAGGGTCCAATATTGTCATGGCAGAGCAGTGCCTCCTGACTGGAAAGGTGTGAGAATGCTCTGTGTGATGTGTGGGACTCGACCTGGGAAAATACACTCTGCGAGGTCTGGCTGGTACTTTGTAAGGCTGCTGCGTTGCCTCTGTGATGCTGCATCCAGCTCTGGGGTCCCCAGTACAAGAAAGACATGGACCTGTTGGAGCGGGTCCAGAGGAGGGGCACGAAAATGGTTCAGAGGGCTGGAGTACCTCTTTTGTGAAGAAAGGCTGAGAGAGTTGCAGTTCAGCCTGGAGAAGAGAAGGCTCAGGGGAGACCTTATTGTGGCCTTTCAGTATACAAAGGGGGCTTATAAGAAAGGTGGGGAGAGGCTTTCTAGTAGGGCCTGTAGTGACAGGACAAGGGGCAATGGTTTTAAACTGAAAGAAGGTAAATTTAGATAAGACTTAAGGAAGAAATTTTTTACCATGAGGGTGGTGAGACAGTGGAACACGTTGCCCAGAGAGGCTGTGGCTGCCCCATCCTTGCTGGCAGTGTTCAAGGCCAGGTTGGATGGGGCTTTGAGCAACCTGGTCTAGTGGAAGGTGTCCCTGCCCATGGCAGGGGGGTTGGATCTTTAAAGGTCCCTTCCAACCCAAACCATTCTATGATTCTGTGATTCTAAATGCTTCAGTCTGAGGTTGTTGGATTCAGCCAGTCTTACTGCTGCATTTCCAGCACCAAAACCAAGGTAAAGATGGCAGTAGTGTTGAGCGAAGAAGCAGAGGAGCCAGCAGCAGCCAGGATTTAAGGCAGAGGGACAGCAGGCGAAGAGTCTTAGCTGGCAGGGGCTTGCAGGGGCCGGCGCTGGGCTTAGGTAAGTGGGGAATGGTTTAGGCTGGAGGTTTAACATCTTGCCTGTGTTGTAGGTTATCCCAGCAGAGGGCATCCCCACACTGTTGGATATTAGCTTGCATGGTGTGCTGCAGGCTTTTGGCTAGCATATTAGCATGCTTTGGATATAGTGTTATCGCACTTTGTATGCTGTGTCGCGTGTTATGGTTGGTGGTGTTGTTCAAAACCCACGCAGATTCACAAAGGCTCAATTAGCAATAGGATACGAGGGTGTGCATGTACTTTAGGTTCAATGGTGTAATTAGACATAAATTGAGATTTATGAATAATTTACAGAGTTTGATAAAGGAGGATGAAAATTAAGTGGGGAAAGAAACAAGTTTGTATGTCTCATTTTGGTGTTACTTTTTGAGTATTTTAAAGCTGTTTTGGCATAGTCTTGTTGATTGGCTGCTGTCTTGTAATGCTTTCAGACATGGATTTGTTATTTATCATTGAAATTAATTAGATGTTAGACATTTTTCACAAATCAGACTCGATTTTTTTTTCCTGGGTGGAGGGTAATACTGTTTATTCTTTTGAAAAAGTACCAGTGAATTCCTCACTGCCCTTACATTTGTACTTACACAGTATTTTTGGGAAGGGCTCTGGTATCATAGCCATGTTCAGAGTGCTACTGGGACCTAGCAAACTAGAAATGCACAGCAAATCAAAAATTCCAGAATTGCTTTCCTCTCTCTTTTTGGGGTATCTTTCAAAGGGAGGATTGTCTTATTCTGGGAACATCTCTTTATTGCCATCACTTTAGTGCTTGGCTTCTGACTTGCATGTCAGGTCCTGCATGTGGAGCACAGTGTTCCTCACAGTTACCTGTGTTGCTTACAGGAGACAAGTCTAAAATTCTTGTTTTTCGTTCCCCTGTCAACTCAGGTTTGGTTTTGTGCTTCAGATCTTTCTTATAGAGCTGCTTGCCTTTTGTGACTGGACACTGAACCCGTAGTGACCACTGTACAGCTGAAATGCAAATATTTTTCAAATCAGCTAGCTTGGTTGGTAATTACTGCAAAAGGCAGGGAAGCATGAAAGCTAAGGTTGTTATTGCTCTTTATGCCTACATTTAATTTAGTAAACTAGTCCAGGTGTGTCTGTTAATGTCAGGACCTGTTCTCTGGCCTGGAGGGCAGCTAGCACAGTCTGGCTGCATCCATAGTATGAAACTTTCTTACCACCTGCAATGGGCATTGGTACCCAAACTGGCTAGTGCATGGTCTCTGCACCAGGCTAAATCTTGGGCTGAAAAATTATCTGGGGGAGTGCTACCTGCCTAGAGTCAAAACTGTGCTGGACATTGTCAGGTTCCAGTAGACACTACAAGGTTCCTAATAGACACTCTTAGGTTCCAGTGACTGGGAATATGCCTGATATTTAGTTTGCTAGGACAGATGCACTTTATGGATTCTGGGTTAATCTATAACTCATTTCCCTTCTACTTCTGTGCTTTTTGTTGGGTTGACTTACTTTTATCACTGTGTTGGTGGAAGAACTCTGCCTTGTTCCATCCCAAGATGTGGTGCTTGAGTCTCTCCATCTTTTATGTTGCAGTATTAATTAGGATTCACTCCACTAGAGTTCACCAACATGTGTTATGGGAGGATAAGAGCTGGACCCTAGCAGAGGATCTGTGCCATATGTACTCCACTAGCAGTAGTTTTTTTGATTTTTTTTTTTTTTTAATCTAACTCTGTATTCATTGAAACACATTCATAGATTATGGTGCCATAGAGGGCCATGATGAATACATTGTCTGTATAATACCTTGACAGTCACTCTCCATTGCTCCTATAACATCACTTAGTGTTTTGTTTGTGTGTGGGTTTGTGTGTTGATTTTTTTAAGGTACTGAATTCAAAACTTAATGTGGCATAAAAGCCACACCATTTCTAACCAGCATTCCCATGGTTATTGCTTTCCTTGTAATATCTTGGGCCTTATTTCTCCTCAGGCTTCCTGTCTTTGTCTGCAGAAGAATGACTCCATTCACTGCTGGCATCTTCTTGCTGTACGAGAACCTGTAGGCCACGGCCAAGTTGTTGGTTTTTATTTTCTCATGGATAAACTGAATAGTCAGGGGTCAACTGAGGTCTCTGCCCTTTGGTTTCTGTAGTAGGTACTCTGCAGGGCAGCAAACATTCCCGTTTTTTAGGCCTTAACAGCCAGAAGGGCACTGAAGCCCACCAGGGCTGAGAAATGGGTCTTCTGGCTCAATGGTGAAAAGGTTTGGGCTGCTTTCTCTATCACATACCTACCTGGCTGAGCTTCTCTTCCCTCCCGTCTCTCACAGCTGGGCATTGTGTAGCTCATTTTTAGTGGGCAAGGATTTTTGCTGTCAGAGAAAAGTATCTGGAGCAGTGATTGACCTTCCCAGTATTTCATTAGTTGATGAGTCAAACAAATGGATGCTGGGTATCTGGCAATGAACTTCAGTTCCATTAGGGAGCATATTTTAATAACAGAATTAGAAGACCAGCAACAATGCTTGGGGTTTCACTGTGTAGATAACAGGCTTTTACTAGGCTATATGTAAAGCTCCTTGGTAATACATGTTTTTCCACTTCAGTTTCCAGGGTTAATGCTTCACAGCACTTAAACTACTGCTTTGATGCTCATGTCTCCCCTGTAACTGCTTCTTTGCTGCTCATGTTTCCCCTGTAAAGAAACTTACTCAGGCAGCATGTTTCATTGCAGGTTTCCAAGAAGTACAGCGAGATAGAGGAGCTCTACCAGAGACTGGCGGCACGATATCCACAGGCTTCTCTTCCGCTCTTGCCTAGAAAAGTTCTCTTCGTGGGGGAATCTGACATCTGTGAACGAAGAGCTATGTTCAATGATATAATGAAATTCATCTCAAAAGATGAGGATCTAGCAACAAGTCCTGAGTTACTGGAATTTTTAGGTAACTAAAAGATGTGAGTGTCCCCTCTCCCATGAACGTGCTTGATAAGTGTTACTAAGTTCTTGACTCAGGTAGTCAAAAACTAGAGAATGCCAGAATAAAGGCTGTCACTGAAAATACCCTCTTGTGCATCTACAGTGCTACATAGTCATGTTTGCTAGTGTTTTCCCCTCCTCTCAGAGGACACACACCTCATTCAGAAGTGTTGATACCACAATGCTTGCTTTGAAGATATCTATCCCACCGTCTCTGATTTCCCTTAGGCATATACCTAAGCTGTGATTCAGAACATATAAGTTTAGAAGGCTAAATAATCATATGTTGTCAGTGGAGAGATGGACCCTAAAGAGACAGTGCAGGGTCTCCCTTAGTGATAAACTGTTCCATGTTTTGTGTTTTTCATTCCTAATAAAATTGTTAGGCCTTGCAGAACAGGATTCTAAAGCAAATTACTCACCCTGAGAAGGATCTGAATAAACGACAAATTCTTTTGTAGTTAAACCCATCCTCTGGTCTTTTTTTTTTTTTTTTTTTTTTTTTTTTTTTTTAATTTTCCTTAGCCTCATGTCCAGCTCTTGTTGCCTCTTCCAGTGATTTGTACAGTTCCTTTCTTATGTTCCTTGGGCATAGCAAGGAGTCACTGAATGAATGGAACAGATGGGCTCTCTGCTCTTAATTCAGCTGAGAGCTGCTGAGCAGGGAATGCTCCAGCCTGGTGTTGTGCAGGATTCTCAGTGTAGTGTTAGTTTTAAGGAAGTGAAGTTGCAAGGTGCTAGCAAGTCACCATGTGTGAACAGCCGATTTTGCAAGTGTCAAGTGTGGCCAGATTAGAAGTACTGTGAGACTGGCAGCTTCCGAAAGTCAAGGGGGGCAAAACTGCATAATAATTGGCAAAATCCTTTTGCTAATAAGGTTTTGGAGTGGTTTTTTGTTTTGGTTTTTTTTGTGGTTTTTTTTTCCTTGGCAGTGTTAAGTAGACCTCTTGCACAGAGAATTCAGAATTCATGTTGATGAACCTTTGCATGTTGATTAACCTAACCATGGTGCACATGTCTACAGCTGAATTAGTCTGTACTGTCTTTATACTGTGGACAGATTGGGTGCAAGTAATGTGATCTGTTCATCAAAATCTGCCTTAGAGTAATATAAGTCCCACCCTACCAAACCAGGTGGAATTCAGTACATACACTGCAGATCTTCAAGCTAGTTGAGTACACTTTCCTCACGGGTGTCGGAGACATAGTTGATATATACAGGGGTGTTTAGGGAGAATCAACATGGTAAAACGCAGATGACTGTGGGGATAAGGTAAGCAGCATCCTAACATTCACTGCCTACTCCAACCAGCACTCTTTTGCCTCCAAGGGGAGCATAAGACCACTTGCTCAGTGTAGACACCCACGTTTAGTCAATGAAGTCTGCCCTGGGTGATTTGGCAGATGCAAGTTTGAAAAGCTGGGTGAGAGAGTCTCCCATGCCATGCTACTTTAACAGTCAAAAGGAACAAACCACAAATTCTATCCATCATGTTTTTCACTAGCCTATTTCTAGCTAGTCTCATGATTTTAAATTGCTTTCCTGAACATCCAGGGACTCCACAGCAAGGAATAGTTCTCTTGTCATTCCCCTGGGCTTTGCACATAACAAGTATGGTGAGAAGACTTGGTCAAAGCACATGTTTCAGTTTGCTGAATTTGCTCAGTTGGATCTTGCATACTGAAAGGAGTTAGAACTTCAGGCTTCATTTTTGAGTGTAAATTGAAGAGCTCCTGTGGAAACTTTTATGCTGCCCAACGCTCTAATTTTAGCCTAAATGAATTAAATTAGTAACAAAAAGTGGACTTTATCTCACCTAGCTATGTGAAAGTTAGCTACCTACATCTAAGCAGAGTATTTATGGTCTCTCAGTAGCCAGCAGAGAGAAACAGGCACTTTAGAGGGAAACTCCTTCTCAGACAACTTTATTTGGATGGGATGAATCACCACATGGAAATTCTGTTGTTTCTGTTGACTGCAGAAGGAACATAAATAAGCAGATTAGACATGTACTGATATGTCTCAGATAAAGTTCATTTCCTCTGTCTTTCTCAACTACTTTAAATCAGTAAACAGATCAGACACATAGTGACACATCAGTGGTTAGAAGGGACAGTCAGGAATCATAGAATCATAGAATGGTTTGGGTTGGAAGGGACCTTAAAGATCATCTAGTTCCACCCCCCCTGCCATGGGCAGGGACACCTTCCACTAGACCAGGTTGCTCAAAGCCCCATCCAACCTGGCCTTGGACACTGCCAGGGATGGGGCAGCCACAACTTCTCTGAGCAACCTGTTCCTGTGCCTCACCGCCCTCATAGTGAAGAATTTCTTCCTGACATCTAATCTAAATCTACCCTCTTTCAGTTTAAAACCATTACCCCTTGTCCTGTTACTACATGCCCTTGTAAAAAGTCCCTCTCCAGCCTTCTTGTAGGCCCCTTTTAGGTACTGGAAGGCTGCTGTAAGGTCCCCCCGGAGCCTTCTCTTCTGTAGGCTGAACCACCCCAACTCTCTCAGCCTATCTTCATAAGAGAGGTGCTCCAGCCCTCTGATCATCTTCCTGGCCCTCTGGACTTGCTCCAACAGGTCCATGTCCTTATTATGTTGGGGCCCCCAAAGCTGAATGCAGTACTCCAGGTAGGGTCTCATGAGAGCGGAGTAGAGAGGGAGAATCACCTCCCTTGACCTGCTGGTTATGCTTCTTTTGATGCAGCCCAGGATACAGTTGGCTTTCTGGGCTGCAAATGTACATCGCCAGGTCATGTTGAGCTTCTCGTCAACCAGCACCCCCAAGTCCTTCTCTGCAGGGCTGCTCTCAATCCCTTCTCTGCCCAGCCTGAATTTGTGCTTGGGATTGCCCTGACACATGTGCATGTTGAACTGTTTTTGTATTTTGCAGGAACAAAATCTACTAGTGCCATTGACTTCAAGGGAAAAAACATTCCTGATGACAAGGAGAAAGAAGATGAAGAAAATGAGGGACTGGATTTTTTCAAAGAGGAGAAGACACCTGACTTAATCTCACAGCTGTCATCAGTGGAAAATGCCAAAAAAGGGGAGAAAAAAGAAGAGGAGGAGGAGGAAGAAGAGTTAGACCCTCTTGGTATAATCAGGTATGGCTGGTAGTACCTTTGTTATTTAGATTTTAGCCTAGTTTTCTAAACAAATAAGGCTGTTCGGTGTCACTGTCCCCTCATCCTGATATTTTTTAATATTGACCACTTTCAGCTGAATTTCACAGAGGAGAAGAGGCCTCTGCAGTTCGTGAAGAAGTTGCCTCAGTAGAGGGAAGAGGCTTTGTAGTGCCTCTTTAGTGCATTCCTCAGGAAATCCAAGTGACAGAGGGACATTGTGAATGCCTTGATAACAGTCTCAGCTACAGTAGGCACTTTACTGGACACTGCAGGGTCCCACCGCAAAACATAAAGCCACCAGGGTCCATTGGATGTGCTGTTCTGGAGTACATTGGTGTTTACAGTGTCTGGAACTGCTTTTGGGCTTACTTATGTCTACAAGGAGGTACAGTTATAGCAGTGTAAAGACCAAAAGAGCCAACATTTCAATCATGATGTTCACAAATAGGGTTTTCTTTCCTTCTTTCCTTCTTCCCTTATCTGAAGATGTCACATGCTAAATGCCGCTGAGGCATAAACAATAACAGCTTGAGAAACAATTGAATCAAAGCTTGCCGATGTTAGTATCTGGGTTTGCTTACCTGTCCAATAACTTTCAGGCAGTTATTTTCTTCACTTCAAGATGAAATTTCTCACTTAATTCCCAAAAACATTTCCAACTACTGAAGCCTGGAAGCAAATTTAGTTTCTCAGTACCTGGGATCATGAGTAGTGACTACTTTTTTTAGGGTGTCTTAGGCTTTCGATGCCCAAGTAGAAAAGGCTTAGCTGTTCTTGATCTTCAGTAAGCACTGACTGACCACCCACAGTCACTAGCGACTATTGAATGTTCGTTGTCTTGGACCCAGATGGTGCTTTCAAAATGCTTCTTCATAGCAATAGGCAGTAACTGATAGCAACAAGCCAGAGCCCTCTTTTGGTGTTTCCCAATTACCTTGAATTATTTCCAAGGGGATCATTCACTCCTGGCTCTAAGCTAGAGTCTCCCACACTAAGTTGGGTCAGCTACAATGATTAATACTGGAAGCGCCATTTGGACTTTGCTCCTGCTATTATAATCATATGTAATTGTCGATGTCCAGATATTGTCCTTTTTACTTGAAGTCTTTAATCCTTTACATGTCACCAGAAAACTTTAAGTATTATTCTTTTGACAAAGCACATGCTTAATTACTCAGCATCAAAATTATTCTTTTGTTGAAGAAGAGTTTAAAAAAGTTAAATAACTATTTACAATGAGAAGTTAGATAAAGCAGTACTTCCCACAAAATGGTCCTTAGCTGGTAAGTTTACAACAGAAGCTGTCCTTTTTTGGATAGGAAAATGATCTATTGGGTTAGCAAATGCAATGTTGTATTTTCCAACTTACAACAAGTAGAAACTGTAAAGATCTTGCTGTGCCAAAACAAGCAAGGAATTTGCTTTTCTGCTCTGCACAGTTTGACATAGCATTTGAAAGTCTTGACTATTTTGGTCTTTTAATGCATTGAAGGATGACAAGATCTGGTATTTAATCCTCATTTAGTTTATTGCTTCCATTCCTTTCGAGGACAGAATTCTTACTGAATCAGAATAACTTCCTTTATATAAGAAATGTAGTCTTTACTGGTACAGAGCTGCAGCATGACATGTTATGCAGTCAGATGTTTTTCACTCTAAACCAGTGGTTGGCTATCTATAAAACCAAACATTCTCCATATGTATTTATTATTATTTTTGTAAATCTCACATGTACACTGTCGAGGCAGAAACATGAAAGTGGAAATGAGAATCCTGCATCTGATTTTATATTGTCTCTATTCTCCTGTAACTCACCTTGCTTCCGTGGAAGGTATTTTCAATTCACACCAATGGAGATCAGATCAGACATAAGCATCGTACCCCAGCTTTATGCTAGTAATAGGTGTCTAGGTAAGAGGCCAAAGGCAGGACCTTGGCTGTCAGTGGATGGGCATTTCTTGGGTGGCCATTTTAGGGTGTCTTCCATTTTAGGGTGTCTTCTATGCCCATTACAATGTTAGGTGCTTAACGTGCTTTAAAGAGGGAGCTTGCGGGCCTCACAGCTTTAGTGCTTCAGATGTGCTTGAAGTTACTTTGGGATGGGTAAGAATAAAAAAAGGAGGTGATGCAGACTGGATAAATATGTTTAGTAGTAAACTGCTCCCTAATGCCTAGTAAATTCAGGTTAAAAAAAAAAATCCACGATCCTTTCCCCTGTGAAAAACCTTTGAAAAGATGTAAAGCCAGCACTGAAACAAGCCAGTCCGTTCCAAGCAGTATCGGTGGCCAGGGTGCCTTGAGCAGCAGAGCTCTGACCTAAATTGAATCATGTGTTTGGCATAATCTTACAGGTTTTTTTCTTTCTGGATGAGGATGAAACTGCTCCAGTAGCACAGGCCTCCATATGTTGTCAGCACGCTTCATTTGGTAACAACTTTTCCTCCTGGGCCAGAAGACTGTGACTTGGATTTGGCCCAGCACTGCTGCTGTGCTGCTGAACCACCAGATATCCAGTTAAATATACTGGCCTTAGGGGTAAAATGCTAAACTAGGGTCTTTTTTTCTGGTTTTGTATTGCTGCTGATCATCCAGGTGGAAGCTCATAATGGTCTGGTTCCTTTTGCCTGGAGGAGACATCCCAGTTGTGCTGATTCTCTTCCTTACATTCAAGGCTGTGTCTGAGTTGCTCTTTCATGTCTGGTGGGCAACTCACTTGCCAGTTCTGCTCTTCAGCTTTCACGGGTATAAAGGATGGTCTACAAACTTTGTGTTTCTCTGCTATATGATTCTTATGCCGAAAAGTTTTCTTTCTGTGTTAGCAGGGTGATCTTGGGCCATGTCTGGGATCCTTAACAACAGAAAGACTGTTTTTTTTCTCATCCAGATCGTGGACATTTAAAAAATGACAATACATATTTCTGATTAAGTTTTCAGCTTTTAACACGCCTCCTCCTTTATTTTTTTTTTTCCCCAGGCCTGGTTCTTCCTAAAACAAAACGTGCTCAAAATTGGGTTACATTTGTGGGGTGCAGTGTTGAAATTCATTTGAAATATGTTTTCAAGGAGTGTACTTTCTTCTCTTCACCCACTGCCCTTTTTGATAGTTTAGAGTATTGTTATTCCAGTGTATTGTCACCAGTTAGTCTGCAAGTTTTCCTGGACATTTGTAGAAGTCTTTTCAGCTTTGGACAGAATATACAGGTCCTGTAAGAACAAGCAGTCCTAATACAGAGTAAGATGGTCCTTTGGCATCAGCTGTACAGCGGGGAATGAATATAGTGTACTCACTTTTGTAGCAGTGGCACATTTCTAGATCTATTTCATTTTTCTTGGCAGTGTAAGTAAGTGTACAGTGATTTGTAAGTTGCAAGGCTCTCATAGCCAAACTATTTTTTTTAAAGTTAGCATCTCCTTTTTTTCTTTTTCTTTTTTTCTGGTAAGCCATGATCATTAGAATATCCCTTTGTTAAAATGTCCTAATTCCTCTATACGTGGGAAATCAGATATGTATTTTACTCCACATTATAGGGACAATATTAGGTATATTGACTTATCTTTGTCTCTATTGTTATCCTTAAAGTGAGCTCAATACTGCTTTTTATCATCCTTCTCTAAATCCATCTGTCTTATCATTTGCAGATACATATTTTTAAGTGCTTAATAGACTACCATGGCATTTTGACAATATACCTGGGTTTTTAGAGGTGCGGTATCTTTCAACACTGCTGTCTTTTAAAGGACTTTCTTTGTAAATTGCAAAATAGTACTGTGTGGCTAGTCACAATTGCAGGGGTTTCTCCAACTGGAATGCCTTCAGGAATGAGAGAAGCAAGAATACTAGGTCCAAAAGAGGCTAATCCTCTGAAGGGAAAGGCATGGAAGATGGCCACAAGGTGGAGGAGCCATCTACCCACAGCTAGGATATTCTTGATGATACTGCTGAAAATTCTGCAATGGAAAAAGGTGTAATTTTCCAGTGGTTTGAGAGAAGATTTTCATGGAGTGAAGAGAGGAATCCGGAGCAGCATCAATGCTAGTCAGCTCAGCTGTGCTAGGGCACATTGGCTGAGGCTGACTGGGCAGTATCTGACCATGTCTATACCTTTACATTCTCCTGTCCTCCAAAGTAGGTTTGCTACATCCAGATACCCACTGGAAATGGTTGCTGGCCTGTGCTGTCTCCTGGGCTGTCATTAGGATGATTTAGGAGAAGTCAGGCTGTCCCATGCCAGGGGAGTACCAGGGACTGTCCTAACACCTGAACTGTTGAACCGAGTTTCTGTGCTCAGGCCCTGGGTGTGTGACAGAATTACTGAAAAAAATAGTATGGCCCTGAGCTCCTCTGCCCACAGGGGTTAGCTTTCTGCCTGCTGCCATGTTTACTCCCAGTCTGCCCTGAGGGTTCCCTAGGATTTCGCTTTCTGTAGGGAATTCAGGCAACCAGTTGTGGATTTTTTTACTTGATGCAAGCAAGATCAAGTTAGGCATTTCTAGCTCTGAATCTTAAAACAATATAAAAACCACATCACAATAACTGAATTGGGTTTTGTCTTCTCCCTCAGTGGATGAACTATGCGGGTTTATCGTTTGTAGGTTGAAGCCAAGAACTTTAGCATCTCTCTACTCTCACTTTGTAGTTAAAATAACTGAATTTAGTATTTGTATTCAGTTTACTCCAATAAATCTGAGACAGCAGCTGATTAAAATGACTCAGAACCGGATCCTCTGAACAAAGCAGCAACAATTTTGCAAAGGGAGTGCGGCTGCTGCATGGGTTAAAGCATGCAGCAGCCCTTTCAGTGCCTGCATCTCTTCAGCTGCAATTAACTTATGAGGTAATACTTGTTCACCAGCTTGGAAGAAACCACCTTTTCCTGTGCTTTCCTTTCCTGTCTTCATCAGCTCTCTGCAGCCCTCACAGGAGCCTCTCCTCCACACACGGTTCCCTCCCTTCCATCCTTTTTCCTTTGCCTTCCTAA